GTGGAACTTGGTTGCTTCAACAACTCTCTGGTTGTTGTTGTTTTTTTAAAAAATTAAAGACTTAATTTTAAAATATTTAAATTACGAGAGCCTTCTAGTACAACAATGAACTGCTTTAATGTTTCCTGCATTGTAAAAATTCTCTCTGTGCGAGATAATTGTTATAAACAAGTTTCTGTAAGCTCAAAATACAAACTCATTTGTTTACTTGAGAGAGAGAGAGAGAGAGAGAGAGAGAGAGAGAGAGAGAGAGAGAGAGAGAGAGAGAGAGATTAAACTACTGGATTAAAATACAATTCAGCACTTTGCATCTACTTAATGATTTTCCCTCTCTTAAAAATTGCACTTCTGCAGAGGCATTGGGAAGAATCTGAGGACCATAGTCAACCATTTCAAAAGACCTCAGCCATTGTGCTCTCAGTTCCAGTGAAACCTCCTTTGGTTAAAGGATGATTTAATGTGAAAGTCAGAGGTTTAGTGGTCTATTTATTTGTCTTGGTGTCCAGCCAGATAATTGCTTTAAAAGCTGGTCTGAAATGCACAGGAGGGCCCTGACCTACAGTTGGGGTGGCCTATAGACTGACCTGAAATTAAGATCCACTTTCTGAAGAAATGGAACAGGACTCAGAAGTCCAGTTGCCAAACCAAAACCTGCTGTCACTGAGCTGGTTACTCAGATAACCGGTTATAAGCTTCAGAAGAACATTGTTAAAAAAAAGACAGAGAGGAATAACAGAATAACAGAGTTGGAAGGGACCTTGGAGGTCTTCTAGTCCAACCCCATGCTCAAGCAGGAGACCCTAGGGTTAGGGTTAGGTCACCATGGACTCATAAAGCAAAATGGACATCACCATCAAACTCGGAGTGCTTGGATATGGTTAGGAGGGCTCTGACTTTTCTAGGCTGCTCTATCTATGTTTCCTGGTAAAATACATGGGAAAATCCCATTGGAGGAAAATTCCACTTAGGGTTAGGGTTAGTTCACCATGAACTCATAGAGCAAAATGGACATCACCATCAAACTTGGAGTGCTTGGGTATGGTTAGGAGGGCACTGACTTTTGTAGACTGCCCTATCTATGTTTCCTGGTCAAATACATGAGAAAATCCCATTGGAGGAAAATTCCACGTAGGGTTAGGGTTAGGTCACCATGGACTCATAGAGCAAAATGGAAGTCGCCAACAAACTCGGAGTGCTTGGGTATGGTTAGGAGGGCACTGACTTTTCTAGGCTGCCCTATCTATGTTTCCTGGTAAAATACATGGGAAAATCCCATTGGAGGAAAATTACCATTTCAAACAAATGGCTTTCCAGTCTCTTCTTGAAAACTTCCAGTGTTGGAGCATTCACGGCTTCTGGAGGCAGGTTGTTCCATTGGTTAATTGTCCTCACTGTCAGGAAGTTTCTCCTTAGTTCCAGGTTGCTTCTCTCCTTGATTAGTTTCCATCCGTTGCTTCTTGTCCTGCCTTCAGGTGCTTATGAGAATAGCTTGACTCTCTCTTCTTTGGGGCAACCCCTGAGATATTGGAAGACTGCTATCATGTCACCCCTAATCCTTCTTTTCAGTAGACTAGACAATGTTCAGCAGAAGAAAAGCATATGGACTTGGAGGCTGAATAAATATAGTTTTGGGTCACATCCCTTCCTCCTTGTAAACCAAAGCAAGCTACTTCCTTTTGAAATCCTTCCTTCTGCTTGTAGTATTGACAAAATGAATTTTATTACGTGATCTTTCTGGAAGTCCCACTCATCTGTTTTCTCCTTGCCTCACTGGATACAGGAATAATAAACTCATTGTTTGGTATCTACAATGCCACTGTTCACACTCCAGGAGGGAGGCGTCGGTAGACTTGGAGTAATCCCAAAGATTGCATGAGTACAAAAGTATTTAGGAAAAGAGAAGTCTTAAGGGTAGAGAGAGAATATCAAAAAGTCTGAATGCCGGCTGGCCCATCAATAAAACTTCCCCAAAGTTGACCGTTGGGGATTTCATGGATCCACGTCTTTGTTACTGTGTGAATAATCTGAAGGTCTTGCTCTGAATAGAATAGAATAGAATAGAATAGAATAGAATAGAATAGAATAGAATAGAATAGAATAGAAGCTGGAAGGGACCTTGGAGGTCTTCTAGTCCAGCCCCCTGCTCAAGCAGAAGAACCTATACCGTCTCAGACAGGTGAATGTCTAGTCCAGTGGTTCTCCACCTGTGGGTCGGGACCCCATTTGGGATCGAACAACCATTTCACGGGGGTCGCCAAACAATGCAGTCCGCCATTTTTTCCCCCTTTTCCTTAGCTGTGCTACTCCCTTTTATTCTATTGGCTTTTGAAAGCCAATAGAATAGACTATCTTGAATAGAGTCTAATTCTATTGGCTTTCAAAAGCCAATAGGAATTGTCCAGGCTGTCTCTGCCCTGCTGAGCCCACCAAAAGTCCCATTCTGCAAACGGTGCTGCACCAGTTGAGTAGTCCTCGACTTATGACCGGTTGAGTAGTCCTCGATTTACGACCGGTTGGGGGGTCACGGCATTAAAAAGGTTGAGAACCACTGGTCTAGTCTCTTCTTAAAAACCTCCAGTGATGGAGCGCCCACGATTTCTGGAGGCAAGATGTTCCACTGGTTGATTGTCCTCACTGTCAGGAAGTTTCTCTTTAGTTCCAGGTTGCTTCTCTCTTTGATCAGTAATATTTATTGGTTTGCAGTGTAGATTAATACCCGGTGCTCTCTTCCTAGACATGGGAGTAGGGATTGTAATTTAATTTATAGCTTTGGCTGCACAACTGCCATGACATCCAGTGACAAATGCTGTCCTATTCCAAACATTTCACGCTAGGAAGATAGAAATCGTCTTTGACTTGTCTTTGCTATAGGGTTCAGCCCCAATGTTTATGCAAGGGGAGAGGGCTTTGCTAATTTGAGATCCGTCAGCTCAAGACGAAAGCTTTGTCTCTTTTAAATCCATCAAAAATTCTCTTCCCTGCTGCATATTTTGAGCAAGACATACTGTAAATGAGCACCTTGTTCTCTAGTTTGCATAGGAAGACATTTTGCTATAAATGTATTTGTTTGAACAAGTATTTTGGGCACACAGTCTTCTGTAAAGGAGTAAAACCCACCCTTTAATTACACGGGCTAATATTTGTAGATATGGCCCTTGGTAGCTGAAAATACTTCTGTGGTGAATCCATAGGACACTGATCCTTTACTCTCCAGCAAGGAGGAAAACTTGTAGTAGCTGGCAGAAGACAGACTTAATATTTTTGGAGGTACAACAAGGATGGCGATAGTGGAGAGGAGATAGATAGACCATATTACAGGAGCAGCCTGGGGCTGCTTTCTGCTTTAGTCTAATTTAAGGCACCTCAGGGTTTCTTTCCTTTTTAATCTGGGCTAAACCAATTTAAACCTGGTGAAATGGGGCCTGTTGTGTGGCCGTGAAGAATTGGGAACCGTCCTTTCCCAAAGACTGTGTGCAAACGGGCCTCTGAAGGCAAGACAAGAAACAAGGGATGGAAACGAATCAAAGAGAGGAACACCCTAGAAATAATATGAAATTTCCTGACAGTGAAAAGAACAACTTGCCTCTAGAAGTTGTGGATGCTCCATCTCTGGAGGTTTTTGAGATTGGGCCGCCGTTTGTCTGAAATGGTCTAGGGCAGGGCTTTTCCACCTTTTCACCCATTGTACCACTTTTAGGATACGGCAACATCCAAGGACCACCAGTCGCCTAGCAAAAACTTGATCCAAAAAATAAAAGGAAAAAAGTGATGAAGTACAGGTAGTCCTCGACTTACAACAGTTCACTTAGTGACTGAAGTTACAATGGCACTGAAAAAAGTGTCCCCCAAGCCACAACCGAGCAAGACACCTGCCTGCCCGCCCGGCCGCGCTCTTCCTCCTGTCTAAGGTTTTCATTGTTGTAAGCATTTCAGTTGAGGATTGGCAGTGGGGGTGGGGAGGTGTTTGGTTTTTATTCCCTCCATCTGCTGGATGGTTGCAGCAGGTTTTGGTCACTTCACATGACCCTGGGACACTGTGACAGTCATAAATAGGAATCAGTTGCCAAGCATCTGAAGGTAAATCACAAGGCCCTGGAGATGTTGCAACATTCCAGCTGATCGGAGCTTCTTCTGGGCTCAGCGGAAGCGCCAGGATCAACTGGAGCCTGGAGCTGATCCTGGCGCTTCCGCTGAGCCCTGACAGCCCTGCAGCTCCAGCCGTCTCTCGCTCAGGCTTGTGCGGTGCTGCCACCGGTTCAGCTCATTCCCCTCCCCCGCTACCACTTTTCTAGGATGGTCGCGTACCACCTGCCAGGTGCCAATGTACCACAGGTGGTACCTGTACCACTGGTTGACAAGCCCTGGTATAGGGTTTCCTGCCTGAGCAGAGGGTTGGACTAGATGACCTCCCAACTCTTTTATTCTGTTATTCAATTAGTACAGTAGTGGCCAAAATTGTGGAAGCCTTTTGGGAAAAGTGTATTTTTGAGGCTGGATGGCTAATAACACCACTTTTTTGGGAGAGTAGTACCATAAAATTATATATCAGTGGAAAAATAATTTAATCAAGAAGGTAATGCAACAAAGTTTGTTGAATTGTCTGTACTGTATTCTATGAAAAGTTATAGCCAGGGCTGGCTGAGGAATTCTGGGAGTTGAGGACCACGAGTCTTAAAGTGGCCAAGTTTGAAGACCCCTGCTGTAGAAGGAGCAGTAAGCGTAGGCTGGCCGTTCATCCAAAGTCAGAATTCCTTCTGCTTCTCGCCTTAAAACAGTTTCAATATGATCAAAAGGGGTCTCAAGTCTGAACTCAGAGCACTCCGCTAAGAGAAATTGGGAAAGGCTGCCCTAAAATAAGAAAAAAAACCATAGAGAGGCAGACGTGATGCAGATGTTGATATAGACACAGATAAACATACCTCCACACACAACCAAATTCTTTTAATTTATAAACTTCTTAAAGTGTCTGCATTCTTTCTTTGTTTCTCCCCCCCCCCCAGGTTAACAGAAACCCATCGTGCAGCTGTCAAGGTCATAAGGAGGATGCAGTATTTTGTAGCGCGGAGGAAATTTCAGGTAACATAGACCAGAACTAATTAAGGAGAAACTTCCCGACAGTGGGGACAATTAATCAGGGGAACAGCTTGCCACCAGAAATTGTGGATGCTCCATCACTGAAGGTTTTAAAAAAGAGACTGGCCATTCACCTGTCTGAGCCGGTATAGGTTCTCCTGCTTGAGCAGGGGGCTGGACTAGAAGACCTCCAAGGTCCCTTCCAGCTCTATTCTATTCTATTCTACTCTACTCTACTCTATTCTACTCTTCTCTTAATCTATTCTATTTTCTATTCTATTCTATTCTACTTTATTCTATTCTACTCTACTCTACTCTATTTTCTATTCTATTCTATTCTATTCTATTCTATTCTATTCTATTCTATTCTATTCTATTCCACTCCACTCCACTCCACTGCACTCCATTCTACTATAATCTTATTCTATTCTATTTTCTATTCTATTCTACTCTACTCTATCTTCTATTCTATTCTGTTCTATTCTATTCTATTCAAATCTATTCTATTCCATTCCATTCCACTCCACTCCACTACACTCCACTCTATTCTGCTCTACTCTACTCTACTCTTATTCTATTCTATTTTCTATTCCATTCTATTCCATTCTGTTCCTATTCTATTCTATTCTATTCTACTCTACTCTACTCTACTCTACTCTACTAATCTATTCCATTCCATTCCACTCCACTCCACTCTACTCTTATTCTATTCTATTTTTATTCTATTCTATTCTATTCTACTCTATTCTATTTTTATTCTATTCCTATTCTATTCCTATTCTATTCTATTCTATTCTACTCTACTCTACTCTACTCTACTCTACTCTACTCTACTCTACTCTATTCCATTCCACTCCACTCCACTCCACTCTACTCTTATTCTATTCTATTTTTTATTCTATTCTATTCTACTCTACTCTATTTTTTATTCTATTCTATTCTATTCTATTCTATTCTATTCTATTCTATTCTATTCTATTCCATTCCATTCCATTCCATTCCACTCCACTCCACTCCACTCTACTCTTATTCTATTCTATTCTATTCTATTCTATTCTATTCTATTCTATTCTATTCTATTCTATTCTACTCTACTCTACTCTACTCTAATCCATTCCACTCCACTCCACTCCACTCTACTCTACTCTACTCTACTCTACTCTTATTCTATTTTCTATTCCATTTTATTCTATGAACAGAAGGGAAGGGACCTTGGGAGGCCTTCAAAGGAAGCGTCCTGGTACCGTCTTGGAGAAGTGCAGAGAGGGTGCTAACCAATCTAGACTGAACGGTTCCAAGGCTATCCGAGGTTTCTGAAGGAACTGGACCCGGGAAGGATCCGGGAGACGATCTGGCAGGGAAAGCCATGGGGGCCCTTCTCAACCCCACTGAGAAGATAGACGTGAGCGCAGCGTGGGCTTCTTGCTGATGTTGCAGGAGAGGCCCGATGCCCAGGGACAGAGATCTAGAAGATTTTAAAAAACGCAGCGTTATGGATGACAGGTGAAAAAAACAGGTGTGGGTTTGGTAGTCGTGGCCCCCATCTTGACTCTTTCGACACCTCACGCCCACACAGACGCTCGGGCCACCACAAATCCAGAGGGTGAGACTTCCGCTTTCCTGGCCTCTCCCACCCTCCTTCTTTTAAGATTGTCTTCTCTGCTTCCTGGTGCAGCTTCTCTCTTAGGCTGACTGCTGTGGGTTGCTGGGTCTGAGATTTGGGGTGGCCTTCTGCCTCTTTCTGTGGCCACGGTGTGTTTCCTACCCTTAGCTTTGGAAAAAGCAGAAGAGTAAATGTTCCACTAGACCCGTGTTTCTCAACCTTGACCATTTTAAGGCATGTGGACTTCAACTCCCAGAATTCCACAGCCAGCAATGCTGGCTGTGGAATTCTGGGAGTTGAAGTCCACATGCCTTAAAATGGTCAAGGTTGAGAAACACTGCACTAGACTCTCCCTTCGGGTTGAGAAGGAGATGCATTTCTTAAAGACGTAGATCTCGGGTAGAACTACCCCCCTAGTTTTGTTCCACGGGACAATGATATCCCATTCAGTCTTTCTTCTTCTTTTTTAACTTTCTAAATTTAGACTCTTTTCAGCCTGAAATAAAGTCACACTAAGATTAACCAATGTCCAACTAATTAACTAATTCTTGCCATTTTTCATTCTGGGTTCTTCTTCCCGGAATCTTTAACTGATATTTTGTTTTTGTTTTTTAAATAGGGGTTTCCCCCGCCCCCCCCCCCGTCTTTTTCTTTTCTTTAGCTGGCCAAATTATTGACTTGGAGGGAGGGAGGAGAAGGGAAGGAAGGAATGAGGATCACGAGGGGAAGGAAGGAAAGGAGGGAGGGAGGGAGAAAGAAGGGAAGGAAGGAAGGAGGAGAGAGGGGGAAGGGAGGGAGGGAGTGAAGAGAAGGAAGAAAGAAGGGAAGGAGGGAAAAAGAAGGAAAGGAAGGAAGAAAAAGGAGGAAGGGAGGGAGGAAGGGAGGAGAAAGAAGGAAGGAGGGAGGAGGGAGAAAGGAGAAGGAAGGAAGGAGGGAGGGAGTGAGAAAGGAGAAGGGAAGGAAGGAATGAGAAGGAAGGAAGGAAGGAAGGAAGGAAGGAAGGAAGGAAGGAAGGAAGGAAGGGGGAAGGAAGGAGAAAGAAGGGAAGGAAGGGAGGAGAGAGGGAAGGGAGGGAGGGAGGAAAAGAGGAGAGGGGAAGGAGGGAAAAAGGAGAAGGGAAGGAAGGAATGAGGAAGGAGGAGGGAAGGGGGAAGGAGGGAAAAAGAAGGGAAGGAAAGAAGGAAGGAAGGAAGGAAGGAAGGAAGGAAGGAAGGAAGGAAGGAAGGAAGGAAGGAGGGAGGGAGGGAGGGAGAAAGGAGAAGGGAAGGAAGGAATGAGGAGGGAGGAGGGAAAGGAAGGAGGAGAAGGAAGGAAGGGGGAAGGAGGGAAAAAGAAGGGAAGGTAAGAAAGAAGGGGGAAGGGAGGGAGGGAGGAAAAGAGGAGAGGGGAAGGAGGGAAAAAGGAGAAGGAAGGAAGGAATGAGGAGGGAGGAGGGAAGGGAAGGAGGAGAAGGAAGGAAGGGGGAAGGAGGGAGAAAGAAGGGAAGGAAAGAAGGAAGGGGGAAGGGAGGGAGGAGGAGGAAGGAAGGAGGGGGGAGGAAGAAGGAAGGAAGGAAGGAAGGGATTGTTGTTCCCAAATACACCAGAAATACGCGAGTGTTGTGATCTCTCCGTCAAAGAGACCGGGCGGGGGGGGCACTCCTCCCTACTTCCAGATCCCAGAGGGGGCTGCTCCCTCGTGGGAATCACCTGCAGCCGGACCTTCCCCTCCAACTGGCCCAAACGTGCAACGGACGTGAGCCGCCGTCTGGTTTCCTCGCAGGATTCCTGGGATTTCCCCAGGCTTCTGCTGCAAAGGAGCCCCTCGGAAAGCGGCGGGCGAGAGGAGAGGTGCCAGCTCCGTGCCCTCTCCTCCCTGGCTCTCATGCCCGTTATTTACGGGCTGACTCACTCTCGGCCTTGGCTCGGGCCCCGCCGCTTTCCATTTTGCATTGCTGAACTGGCATAAATCTTTTAATTCCGCCCCAACAAAGGGAGGTTTGGAAAATTAAACTTTTATTGGGAGAGGAGAAAATTAATTATGCATTTGGAGAGCTCCTTTTTTTTTTTTTCCTTCCCTCCCTGGTTTTGTTCTCAAAACCTTTGTAAACCTCTAGGCTCTGAGCCATGGCCATTCAATAGCAAGAAACAGGGCCCCCCCTCAAAAATAACCCCCCACCCTCCCCCAGATCTGGAGCGTTAGGGGTGCCCCAAAACAAAGTGCTCTCCGAACCCCCTGCCAGTCAGTCCAGAACGGCCCTGCCTGGGAGAGAAGGGCGGCCGCTCTGGTGGCCGGGAGGGAGGGAGGGAGGATGTGTCCAAGCCTGTCAGCAGCAGAGGAGGAGAAGGAGGAAATCATTTTTTAAGCTTTTAAAAATGGAAAGTATAACAAAGCTGTTTCCAAGCAGACCCTCCATTCCACCAAACTGGAGCCCTGCTAAAGACTTCCTTTCCTTTCCTTTCTTTCTTTCTTTCTTTCTTTCTTTCTTTCTTTCTTTCTCTCTTTCTCTCTTTTCTTTCTTTCTTTCCTTCCTTCCTTCCTTTGTTTTAGAATAGAATAGAATGGAGCTGGAAGGGACCTTGGAGGTCTTCTAGTCCAGCCCCCCCCCCACTCAAGCAGGAGAACCTATACCATCTCAGACAAGTGACTGAATAATCTCTTCTTAAAATTACTATTTTCTTTCATTCCTTCCTTGTTTCTTTCTTTCTTTCTCTCTCTCTCTTTCTCTCTTTATTTATTTATTTATTTCTCTCTTTTCTTTCTTTTTTTTTCTTTTAGAATAGAATAGAGCAGAGCTGAAAGGGACCTTGGAGGTCTTCTAGTCCAGGCCCCCCCCCCCCACTCAAGCAGGAGAACCTATACCATCTCAGACAAGTGACTGAATAGTCTCTTCTTAAAATTATGATTTTCTTTCTTTCTTTCTCTTTCTCTCTCTTTCTCTCTTTTCTTTCTTTTCTTTCTTTTAGAATAGAATAGATCAGAGCTGGAAGGGACCTTGGAGGTCTTCTAGTCCAGCTCCCCCCCCCACTCAAGCAGGAGAACCTATACCATCTCAGACAAGTGACTGAATAGTCTCTTCTTAAAATTATGATTTTCTTTCTTTCTCTCTCCCCTTCCTTTCTTTCTTTTTTTCTTTCTTTCTTTCTTTTCTTTTCTTTCTTTCTCTCCTGATTCTCCCCCCCCCCTTCTCCTTTCATCTACCATTTCTAGGGCTCCCATGGCTGGGATCCAAGCATGATTCCATAGCACCCTGGAGGTGCTCAATGCATGCTAATAGTTAGCCGAATCTCTGGCAGAGGGGAAACAAACAATCCAGCTAATGAGCTGTTGTTCGTTATTTTTCAATTACCAAGTTTTCCAGGGTACCTTCTCCTCACCCCCCCCCCTTTTTTTTTTCTTCTTCTCTCTTGAACCCTAGCCAAAAAAAAGGAGACCTAACTCGCCCCAGATTCCCTAATGGGCTTATGTAGATTCCCAACCATCAACTCACCCGCTTCTCCCCTCTGTTTACTCCATTAATGGTAGCATTGTCATGGAAATTTACCAGGTTTAGTTTTTTTGGGGGGGGTTCCCCTCTTTTTTTTTTTTTTTTTTTTTTTTAGTACTCAGTCCCAGCCAACCCCACTGGCCCTTGGAGCCCGAGCCATACAATGCCGTCTGATTGCAAATGAAAATTAGACAGTTTGTTTTAAAACTGTTTTGCCCCCCAGACTTGTTTTCTTCCTTGTGGGCTGCCCCAAATTCTATGCAGAGGGGGGAAACCTTTTATTTTATTGACTTATTTATTTTGGGGAAACGTCTGCCGAGTCGATCGTCGTCTGAGACATTTTTAGTACGTGATAAATATTAAAAGAGTATTCTTTTAAAAAAAATTCTTCTCTTTGGATAAAGAGACCTCTGCCTGGCTCCTCGTTGCCCCCCCAGCCCCCCCCCCAGGGATTTCTGGATGTCCTGGGCAAAATGGGGTCCTCTTGCTTCCAAGCTGGGGATGGAACACTTTTTTTATTCTTTGTTTGCAGCCCTGCAGGGCCACGGATGGCAATGCAGTGACATCACTGGAAGAAGGAGAGCCAGTGTTTTGTTTTTTTTTCCCCCTTTCCCCTTGGGAAAAAGCGTGCACCAAGATTCCCTCTGATCCACCTCAAAAATGCTGTGCAGAGTCACACTTTCGAAATTCAGCAATATGCCCCTTATTTTCAGCAACGTAAACTTACTGGGCTTCAGGAGAGTGCAAAAGGGAACACCAGACACTTCTGCGTCTTGGGGATTAATAATAATAATAATAATAATAATAATAATAATAATAATAATAATAATAATAATAAAGTTGGAAGGGACCTTGGAGGTCATCTAATCCAACCCCCTGCTCAGGCAGGAAACCCTATACCATTTCAGAATGACAACAACAATAATAATAATAATAATAATTAATAATAATAAAATTGGAAGGGACCTTGGAGGTCATCTAGTCCAATCCCCTTCTCAGGCAGGAAACCCTGTACCATTTCGGACAAATGGCTGTCCAGTTTCTTCTTAAAAGCCTCCAATGTTGGAGTATTCACCGCTTCTGGAGTCAGGTTGTTCCACTGGTTAATTGTTCTCACTGTCAGGAAATTTCTCCTTAGTTCCAGGTTGCTTCTCTCCTTGATTAGTTTCCATCCGTTGCTTCTTGTCCTGCCTTCAGGCGCTTTGGAGAATAGCTTGACTCCCTCTTCTTTGGGGCAGCCCCTTAGATACTGGAACACTGCTATCCTGTCTCCTCTCGTCCTTCTCTTCGTTAAACTAGACATCCCCAATTCCAGCAGCCTTTCCTTATATGTTTTGGCCTCCAGTCCCCTGATCCTCTTTGTTGCTCTTCTCTGCACTCTTTCTAGAGTCTCAACATCTTTTTTACATCGTGGTGACCAAAACTAGATGCAGGATTCCAAGTGTGGCCTGACCAAGGCCTTGTAAAGTGGTATTAACCCGTCACGTGATCTTGATTTGAGATGCCCACCCTGATCGAAAGCAAAGAATGTGATATTCTCACCTCTCTTCTAAACTGTCTATATCTGAAAGCCCTTCTTCTGTCCCTTCCAGGTCGACTGAGGAGCAGTCATCTCCTTGGCGCCTCCTAACAAAATTTCATTCCGTGAAGGAAAGGAGATAACAGAGCTGGAAGGGACCTTGGAGGTCATCTAGCCCAACCCCTTGCTCAGGCAGGAGACCCTGTACCACTTCAGACAAATGGCTGTCCAGTCTCTTCTTAAAAACTGCATAAAAGAGCCAAGGTTGCCTAACCCAAACACAGGAGGAATAATAGGACTTTCCTTTCCTTATGCATTTTTAAACTTATTTTTTTTCCTATTTTGTTTTTTGTTTTGTTTTTTCTCCAGCAAGCTCGGAAGCCTTACGACGTCCGTGATGTCATTGAACAGTATTCTCAAGGGCACCTCAACATGATGGTGAGGATAAAAGAACTCCAGAGAAGGTAGGGCACGTTCTCCGTTCAAGGGCAGACTGCCTGGCGCCCTTCTGATGTTTCGGGCCACAGCCATCCGGGTCTACTGTAGAATACAATAGAGCTGGAAGGGACCTTGGAGGTCTTCTAGTCCAGCCCCCTGCTACAGCGAGAGAACCTATACCATCTCAGACAAGTGGCCATCTAGCCTCTTCTTAAAAACCTCCAGTGATGGAGCGCCCACGATTTCTGGTGGCCAGCTGTTCCACTGCTTAATTGTCCTCACTGTCAGGAAGTTTCTCCTTAATTCCAGGTTGCTTCTCTCCTGGATCAGTTTCCATCCATTGTTTCTTGTCCTGCCTTCAGGTGCTTTGGAGAATAATTTGACCCCCTCTTCTTTGTGGTAGCCCCTTGTCCTTGACCAGACTAAGGATGATGGGCATGGGAATCCCGGATATCAGAGAATACTGTAGCTCAGTGGTTCTCAACCTGTGGGTTGGGACCCCATTTGGGGTCGAACGGCCATTTCACGGGGGTCGCCAAACAATGCAGTCCGCCATTTTTTCCCCCTTTTCCTTAGCTGTGCTACTCCCTTTTATTCTATTGGCTTTTGAAAGCCAATAGAATAGATTCTCTTGAATAGAGTCTAATTCTATTGGCTTTCCAAAGCCAATAGGAATGGTCCAGGCTGTCTCTGCCCTGCTGAGCCCGCCAAAAGTCCCAGTCTGCAAACGGTGCTGCACCAGTTGGGTAGTCCTCGACTTACGACCGGTTGAGTAGTCCTCGACTTATGACCGGTTGGGGGTCGCGGCATTAAAAAGGTTGAGAACCCCTGCTGTAGCTCCATCTTCCCAGCCCAAAGAAGCAGCTCTCTGGGTGAATTTAGTTCTTGTCCTTTCACCTTAACTGTATTCTGGCTGAGCAGAGTCACGAGCAGAATCGGCCTCAGAGCTAAATAAAATCATCTGCTTATTAGAATCCACGGGAAGAAATTGAAGTTAAATTGATGAGAGTCCGCTCACTCGGGATAGGCATCATATCAACACGATTGGCATTTTTTTCTTTTAAAGAAAAAGTCACAAAATTCAGCTAGTCCTCAACCACCTTGACTTCAGACCCAACATTTCTGTCGCTCGGTGAGATGCTGGTTAAGCGAGTTTCGCCCCATTTTTACGACTTTTCTTGACATCGTTGTTAAGTGAGTCCCTGCAGTTCTTAGGTTAGTCACACAGTCCTTCAGCGAATCTGGCTCCCCCCGTTGGCTTCGCTTGTCAGGTCGCAGAAGGGGATGGCGTGGCCCCAGGGGGATGCTGCAACCGTCACAAGTACAAGTCAGTTGCCAAGTGTCTGAATTTTGATCACGTGACCACAAGGACGTTGCAGTGGTCATAATGGTGAAAAACAATCGTCACTCCATTTTTCCAGCACCGTTGTAACTTCGAACGGTCCCTAAACGGACGGTGGTAAGTTGAGGACCAGCTGTACGTCTGAAAGTCTTCTGAATTAAAACTTTCCTTCTCTTATTCTAGGCTGGACCACTCGCTGGGGAAGCCTGCCCTGTTTCTTCCAGGTACGGAACTAACTAACCGACATCAGCCGGTGAGTTCTTTGGAAGGGGACTTTGGTCTTGGATTAAAAGTTAAAATGGAACAACGGAGAAGACAGTAGACATGGAAGTTGCATGAACATTAATGTTAAATATGCGAGCCCAGACAAGGCATCGTTTATTTTATTTTTTTAATATATTTTTTATTATTATTTTTTTAACAAGCATAAGTCACTCAATAATTGGTAAACAGTGTGTTGTCTGGGTTACATTTGTAAAAACACTCCTTAACAATTGATTTCTATCATCTGTATTCCATATCTTAATTTTAGTTGATCTCCTCTTTCCCCAAAACATCCTTTTTTGCACACATTAATACAATTCTTATTGTTTTAATAAATGACAATTAAGTATATAATTTTTCCAATATTCCTAAAAAATAATCATCGTATTAGTATAATATTTCTTTTCTTTTCAGTCCTTTGAGTTGCCTTATCCTCAATCCTGTTACAATCCTTATTTTAGTTTGTTTCTCCCACCAAATTCTAATTATTTTTACTAATAAAGGTTTTCTCAACAATTAGTTACATTTACATTGACAGATTTCATTCTGTTTTTCCCATATAAGCCATCTCACATTTTTACATTTCTTAAGGAATAGATAAGAGAGTAAAAAGAGAGAAGAAGAAAAAAATAAAAGGAAAGAAAAAATAAAAAATAAAAAAGAAGGAAGGAAAGCAAGAGCAGCGAAACATAAGAAATAACATACTACTTAGAATATATATCCCTCCTAGGGTTAATATGTATTTATTTCCTCAGATTTCTTATTCTTTTTAACCACAGTTAAGAATATATTTAATCTTTAGACATTCCATTCAGTAGATCTAGTCATCTAATCCCTTAACTCTGATTTAAAACGTCAGGGCGTCGTTTATTAAGCACCAAAGATTTGTAGCTATAAAAACTTAATAAAATAATCTATTAAAAAACAAAAACAAAGTTAAACTGGGGAAGAACTGGGGAAGAACGCTTCCCCCTGTTTCTGTCTGCTGTCATGTCTTCTAAATGCTTTTCTCTCTCTTCCCGTGCTTATTTTTCTGGGGTTCCAGCACTGTTATATTCTGCAGGTCATCTTCTGATGGCCTGAGATCATGTCCTTCAAGATATTTGTCCAAAGGACATTCACGGGGTAGAAGGTAGCTGGGATCATCTCTGCCCCAGATACCAGTTCCAACTATGATGATACTTGGTTTAATGGATCCTCATTGTTATTGGTGTCCCCAGATCTTTCCCTGCCCTGCTGAGATCATCACCATCATCATCATAATCATCATAATGTTGGAAGGGACCTTGGAGGTCTTCTAGTCCAACCCCCTGTTCAAGCAGGAGACCCTATACCCGTGGTGGCGAACCTATGGCACGGGGGCCAGAGGTGGCACTCAGAGCCCTCTCTGTGAGCACACGTGCCGTCAGCCCAGTCCTAGGCCTTCAGCTGGCTTTAGGCCTCCGCCGCCGTGTACACACACACAAAAGGGTCTTTCAGTCAATTTCAACTTCTCACGGAAAAAAAAAAGATCTTGCAAAGTTGGAATTTTGCAACCCGATGATGCATAAGTGGGTTTTGGGTTGCAGTTTGGGCACTCGGTCTCTAAAAGGTTCGCCATCACTGCCCTAGACCATTTCAGACCAATGGCTGTCCAGTCTCTTCTTAAAAACCTCCAGTGTTGGAGCATTCACCGCTTCTGGAGGCAGGTTGTTCCACTGGTTAATTGCTCTCACTGTCACAAGAGGCGGAATCCAACCTCTGATGATTCTGCAGGCCCTTGGCGCTCCGATATTCCTGCATATCCTTTTTGTGCACAGAATAAAATATTCTAGCTGTAACAATAACGGCAATAAGTTTTTGGTAACCTTCACAATTAGTTGTAATTCAAGCACAAATCCTCTCCATTTTTTTTTTTTTTTTTTAGAAAAGGGGTTAGACAAAGGATACTACACAATGGGAGCCAGACTGATTAGACTGGAGGATAAGGTAAGGTCTTTTGGGGGGGGGAAAGCTATTTTTGCTGGCCAATTTCCAGAAACTTTCTGCAATCAGCATGACTGTCAGTCTGCATCCTTTACTCAACGTGAGAGCCAAAGAAATGTACCGGTCGTGAGAAATGTGTAAACTAACTATGGGTTACGTTGCGGTAGTTTTTCATTTAAACATCGTCTCCGTCTCAATCTGTCTCTGAGTGGGAATGTTTGTCCTCCATCCCTTTGTGTGACGCAAAGATACCTTCAGAGTTTATTTATTCTGAAACTCAAAGCATTGAAGGAACCATAATTTCTCTTTCGCTGTCAAGGTGACTACTTTTGTCGAATCATGATTAACTGTGGGGGAGGTGCTATTTTGAGAGTTAAATTTTAATCTGTGGAAAATATTACCCGTGGGAAGTCAAGATAGTGGTCCCATGATGAATAGAATAGAATAGAATAGAAGCTGGAAGGGACCTTGGAGGTCTTCTAGTCCAGCCCCCTGCTCAAGCAGGAGACCCTAGACCATTTCAGACAAATGGTTATCCAGTCTCTTCCAGCAATGGAGCACCCACAACTTTTGGAGACAAGCCGTTCGATCGATTGTTCTCCTTGTTACAAGACCCTTGTTAGCAGCCTCCGAATACCCGTTACATATTGAGTGAAAGCTGCCATGCTTAGAATAGAATAGAACTGGAAGGGACCGTGAAGGTCTTCTAGTCCAGCCCCCCTGCACAAGCAGGAGAACCTATACCATCTCAGACAAGTGACTGTCTAGTCTCTTTTTTAAAATCTCCAGTGATGGAGCGCCCACGATTTCTTGAGGCAAGCTGTTCCACTGGTTGATTGTCCTCACTGTCAGGAAGTTTCTCCTTAATTCTAGCTTGCTTCTCTCAAGTTATCTTTTTTTTTACCTTTATAATTTCATCCAGTTCCATTAAGGAGCCATTAAAATGCACAGTTGATTGGGAACGCCTAAACCTTTGCGTTGCAAAATCTCCACTTACGTTTTGTTTCATTCTGCTAACATGGTATTCCTGCATCTTTCTATCAAACATCATTGATTTGCATGCTTCCAGGTTTTCGTTTTTATTTTTAACGTTTTTGAAAAAACCAGTCTCATTGGTTGAAGTTTGCCTGCATAAGCCGGTTGCTGTCAGTTTTGATCAGTGCCAAGAATATTTGTTGGTATTAAAATTTCCACTTAAAGTTGTCCTCTGTTGCCAGTTTATAATTTAAACTGGACTAGGAAGTGGCCATTGGCTCTTCTGTTGGAACGGAAAAGTGATGTGCTACAGAGCAAGAGAAAGCACTAAAAGGAAAATAAATTCGCGTTCTAAGAGAAGTGGAAAGTGATAAATGGATACATGTCATGTATATGCTAATCACTTGGATGAAAAATACCTCTTATTTTTTCATAATTCTACGGCAATCTGTTCTGCTATATATAGTTATAACTGACATGCCTGTAATGAAGTTTCAAGTATACCGATTGTATAAACATGATGGAGCTATGCAATAGCGTTTAAAATGAGCGAAAATGCTGAGAAATGCAGAGGAGTAAATTTGTTGCCTTGGGGGCATCAGCGCAGTTTCAGGGCAAGTCACAGCAAAATGACTTACATAAATATACACTTCACTGTTGGCTGAATTAGCCTAGCTTTATTTTTAGTAAAAAAAAGTAGTCAAACTGGAATAGCGAAGTCATTGGCAAAAACGCAAAATACATTCTCCTTTTTGGGGATCAATGATGTGCTGGTTATGTTATAATATTAAAACTTAAGTATACCTTAAGATAAAATAACAATGCTCCATGTTCTACACTGCTTATAATTTTCACTTCTCAACTTTGGATCATCATCCCAGTAGGATGCTGTTTTATGCAGTGGCCATAATTATGGTCTACTTTAGCAAGGACAAATTTCCTATGGTGGGAAAAAAGAATGGGCTTGAAGTTTATTTACTTAAAATATATATTTACTTATTTACTTACTTATTTAACTTTAGGCCACCCATCTCCCCCACAAGGTACTTACAAGTTATGAAATAAGAAAAAAAAGAAAATAATTAAAATATTAAAACGTTAAAAAAACTACACAGATTAGAATCGTGCTAAAAAAAAAACCCCGATGCTAAAATCGAAACCAAGTGAGCTAAGAGACAGACAGGATAAGAATGAGGTCTTCTTACCCTGTCAGCCCCTTCCAGCGATGGCCAGCCTCCTTGGGGTCACAAGCCAACTGGCAAAACCAGGTTTCTGTGCTCTTCCGGAAGGCCGAGAGGGAGGGGAGTGGTAAGAATGTTCCACGGGGATGGGGCCACCACAGAAAAGGATCTTCTCCTTGACCTCACCTGCTTCAGTTCCTCAGCAGGTGGGATCCACAGCAGGCCTCTTCCACTGGTGTGAGTGGGGTGGGCTTGTCCCATTGGGGGGAGAGGGCTCCTCAGATAACCTGGACTCATGCCATGTAAGCAGTAGTGGGATTTAGCCGGTTTACACCACTTTGGCAGAACCGATAGCCAATTTTTTGTTGCCCAGGCCCAGAACGGACTTCCAGAAGAAGTATCCACACAGAGAACCGGTTGTTCACCTATTTGAATCCCACCACTGCATGTAATGTGTCAACTCTACAAGGAATCTGGCTGCAACCATCTTTGTCGTTCTAGGTTGCCACAAGAGAGGGAGGGCAGGAACAAAGTATTTTTGCTAGTCTAAACGTAAATAGATCCCGTGGGAACCAAGGTCATTCCCACACTGTAGTGGAGGGGGGGCGTCCTGCCAGAATGCCCGCCAAGTAGTTCTATTGGAGAATGTGATCTAGAGCGAAATAGAAGGGTGGGAACGATTACATTGAGTTATTCTGAACTTTTTGGGGGGGCGGGGAATTTTAGATTTGGTTTCACCTTTGACCGTGCCGACGTCGTGTATCCAATAAACGTGTTCTTTGAGGAAGTCTCGTGACTCGCAGTTCTGATTTATTTGGTTCCATCAGTCAGAACCAACACCTTGAACTGGATCCAGAAGCAAACTGATCAGCAATGCAGCTCAGACAATAAAACGGTTACATGTGCAGGCCTAGGAGATCCCAGGATTGTGCGTGCCGCTGCATTCTGCACCAGCTGAATATATCAAATGTAGCAAAAATCACACCAGTGGTCATGCCAGGTGCAAAGGGGGTGAGCACGCATGCATGCACTCACTGGCCAGCCACTTACATGGACTGGCGTGGACTGTGACCCATAGGTTGGGGACCTTTGCTCTAGATAGTGATTTGGCATTTCTCCAGCCAGGCTGATAGAGCAAGTTTAGAGAAGGGATCTTAACTCAGCACTGAAAGATCTCAGTCTGATTCTACGGAGTCATTAATCCGATTCAACCTCATTAAACATTAAAAAAAGTATAAACTTAACACAACTTTTTTCATGATTTACAATATGAAACCACCATTCACCATCATTCTGCTTTCATGAAGTGGAAGTCCTGTTATGTTCTTTAAAAACAGAAATAGAGAGCTAGATATAGCAGGTCTATTTTGAAGAACCACGACTGGGACGATAAATTTTTGACATAAACCCTGTGGGTCAGATGAAACTGTGTTAGATAATCCTGTTCAGGAATAATCTTATGAGTGTTATCAAAGGCCAAACTTTATTGGTAGATTGGTAGAGTCTTATATAAATGCCATATATCAGGAATATTTCATGAGTGGAGAAGGAGGAACGCAGTCCGCTTCATCTATCACAGTGGTTCTCAACCTGTGGGTCGGGACCCCATTTGGGATCAAACGACCATTTCACGGGGGTCGCCAAACAATGCAGTCCGCCATTTTTTTCCCCTTTTCCTTAGCTGTGCTACTCCCTTTTATTCTATTGGCTTTTGAAAGCCAATCGAATAGACTCTCTTGAATAGAGTCTAATTCTATTGGCTTTCAAAAGCCAATAGGAATTGTCCAGGCTGTCTCTGCCCTGCTGAGCCCACCAAAAGTCCCATTCTGCAAACGGTGCTGCACCAGTTGAGTAGTCCTTACGACCGGTTGGGGGTCGCGGCATTAAAAAGGTTGAGAACCACTGATCTATGACAAGCATTTGCTGTAATGAGACTGCTTACCTGAATGCAAACCCACGGCAAGGGGTTCAAATGTTGGGATTATGTCAATTCATCCTGAAGGCAATCTTTCACTTTCAGGGCCAGCCCAGAAATAGCTCAGAAATTACACTGTCCATTCATGAATTTTATACTTAAGTGGCTGTTTCTAAAAACATCCCAGCGGGTGGAGAGGTGAGTCGGTTCTGCTTGGCTGCAACTCTGGAGCGGCCCTGCCTTCGTTTGGTTTGGCTCCGGCCACGAAACCCTGCGGACTGAAATAAATTCTTATTATGCCATGGCATCTGCCTAGCGCAGGGTGGGGAACCTTGGCTCTTTCAGGACTGGTGGACTTCAACTCCCAGCGTGCCTGGCTGAGGAATTCTGGGCATTGAAGTCCACAAGTCATCAAAGGGCCAAGTTTGAAGACCCCTGATATAGAGGGTGACACCCGTGGATTGGGGGAGTAAGGTACATCCTTGTCTGAGATATGTAAAGCACTAACTTGGGTGACCCGCTAAATCTTCCTTTCATCTGCCTTGGATTGCACAAAGACTGTACAAATGATATTTCTCGTGCAAATTTTTGTTTGTTTTGTTTTCTGTTAGCCCTGACTCTGTGTTAACTTTGAACAGAAAATTGCAACTTAACTATGATCTATTTCTGGTTGTTTTAGGGTGGAGCTTCGTTGGCCTTAACTCATTTGCATTAGTTAATTAGGGCCTATTTTGAGCTGTTCTTACGTCTGTTTTTAAATCCCGTATTTTTCGTCCAATTATTGGAGGAAGTTCTGCTGCTGAGTGAGTCCCCTTTTCAAGTTGGATTAAAAGATTGTGTTTTTCCTTGTAGAAATAAGAGGTAATCCTTTCCTGGATCTATTCTCTGGAAAACATGTCACAATAAGCCTACCTTTCATTCAACTTTAAGAT